TCCAACGGGAATTTTTGAGAGGCGGAGCGACACAAATTACTCTTAGAACCCTGCTTTGACCTTATCGGATGCTTGTTGTGGAGCCTTCCCTTTCAGAGCCTCGAAGTATCGTTCGCATCGTTGTGGGCTCGAGACGAACCAGGAAGCTGCCGAGCCTTTAAATCGTCAGCCCTAAACCCTACAGAAGGCCATTGCTCCCCGGTAAAGCATAGGAAGCAGCAAGCTGGACAAAGCATCTGCGCGACCGGACGCATGTATCTGGGCTTCTGCACCCTGAAGTTTTGAAAAACCCTAAACCCCAAAACCCTAAAAGCCTCAAACAGGCCTTTCAAGCTCTGGTCTGTCATGTGCGGCCGAGACAGTGGAAAAACAAACCTCGACTCTTCGCAAACAGGTGTAAGAAGCTTCAACCCTAGGGGGCCCTAAGCCCCAAAATGCTCAACCCGAAATCCCACAGAGCCCTTGCGGTAACTCTTATGGTAATCTTTGAAGAACTCTCGAAAGAATTTCTAGTTATATCCCTGAGCATGAAACTGACGGGGTGCGTTGAGTGGGGTGAGAAGCCCAAACCCTAAACCCTGAACCCCTAAACCCTAGACCCTAAACCCTAAACCCTAAACCCTAAGCCCCAAACCCCTAAGCCCCTAAACCCTAAACCCTAAACCCTAAACAGTAAACGCGCAGGAGATGCCAGAGGGCGCGAAACCCCTGGCCACGGCTTCTCGGCTTGCTCTCGGGTTTGGAGGAAGGTTTAGGGTTAGACGCGTTTTCCGGCTTAGGGTTTCGGGGTTAGGGTTGTGGGTTTAGGTACGTACATGTACATACATACATATGTACACATATACTTACATATGTATGTATGTATGTATGTATGTATGTATGTATGTATGTATGTCTGTGTGTGTATGTATGTATGTATGTATGTATGTATGTATGTATGTATGTATGTATATATATAATATTTAAAGATGGGTATGTTCACACACGTTTGCACAACTACACACATAATCACATACATATAGGTATGTACCTGTCATATTTATCTGTTCATTTATTTACTTGTTTATCCAGTTCTTAGTGTGTAGGCATGTGCACACAAACGCAGGCTGCAGCTGGTATTGTGAGTGCATACGACCCGCCCCATACTACCCACTATACTACCCGAGAAGATCCGTAAAGTGCAAACGCTACATGCATTTGTCGTTGTGGTTTTTGTGGAGGCGTAGGACTGCTTGGTAGGGTTGCAGAGTGATGCTCCGAAGTTCGTGGGTTCATGCAGGCGGCATGAAACACAAGGGTTTTCTGCCCGGTTGTTCAAGAGGTATACTTGCAGTATCTGAATCTTGTCGTCACATGTAGGAATACTGCTGCCAGCAAGCAAGAGGCAGGAAGATGGCGGGGCATTTCAAACACCAAGCCAAGAAACCTGTACTATGAAATTTAACACCTGTTTGATGGTGGGGCGTCTGGCCCCTTACAGCCCTGAACCCTAAACTTGCCCTAAACACCCTTGAGCCAAAATCCTAAACCCTAAACCTAAACCCTAAGCCCTAAGCCCTAAACCAGCCCAAGCTAAGCTGAGGAGGGTCGCTGGACGGCCACCCGCGTGGTGGACGAGTCCGCTCGCCTGGCTGGTCTCTGGCGTGTGTCTGGGTCATGGTTAGGGTATTTGTTTTAGGGTTTAGGGTTTTTGGTTGTTAATGTAGACCCCCGATTCATGAAGCTCTTATTGTGTCACCTTTAATTCAGATGAACCCTTCCAGAGCCCTAAAAACGTGCTTATAAAGAAAGCTGCACCCTCACCCTAAACGGCAAAGCCGATCCTTGTTATAAGCCCTATAAACGCATGCAGGTTTATGAATCAAGGGTCTGCATTCAGCTAGTTGCTTTCAGGGTTTAGGGTAAACTTAAAGCGCTTTGCATAGACTTGTGGTAACTTATCCGTCAGTTCCTTCACAAGAACCCAGGTGTCCGTGGGTCTGCAGGACGGGGCGCAGGCACCAGGGGCGAAGCTTTGGAGAGCAGGGGGTGCCCGCGACCTTTGCGGCGTTTTGGAGTTTTGGGGTTTAGGATTTTTAGGTTCTTTACGACTTCGGGAAGATGTTTGGGGCTCTTCAGTGAGGCGCTGTTTGGAGTTTGTCGGTTTTGGGTATGAGCTTGAGTCAGGCTTGCACTTAAGGGTCTAGGGTGTCAGCGTGGCCGCGGGCCCGAAACCCTGAACCCTAAACC